GCAAGACATCAAATACAGGAAGTCCAGCGTTTTTTCACGCAGGGGTAAAGTCAGTCTGAATGAGGTTTAGATCATAATAAATGCATCCAAACATGCCTCCTTTTATATACGGTAAAACTTGATTATTGAAGTGCAAGAAGGTGGTTGAAAAAACTGACCAACCACACTATTGACCCAGGAAAGTTTATTGAATTGAAGATTCACTGAAGTGGCTGTCCCAGCATTGGCATTTCAACTATCTCACAGATCGACTTACAATGTAATCAATACAGCTGTCAACACTGACCACATAATGGCTCTCACTTTACATGTATAACTGCAAGCCAACACATCGTCTTAGGCTTCAAATCTATTTTCTTGCATATAACAGCGGCGAATGTGTATTGGTCTGTGAGAGCTATCAAAACACATACTAACTATGGAGTGAAGCTGCTATTACTGGACTGATGGTGGACTTCACAATACAGCTACTGTAGATAAATAATTCATTAATTATTAGAAGATAAAATGACAGATGATTATGATAATGATGATGAGCAAGAAAGTAAACATCAAAGTATCAACAAGACATTCAGGCTCACACTCAAATCCCAAGTTCAAGCACATTAAAAACAATGTTACCTCTGGACTTTGTTTAAACAATGATTATTATCATTCTCGGCATGTGTTACACGAACACACACACGCGCGCGCACACACACACACACACACACGCACGCACACACAACCTAAACCAATGGGAATAATCAAGCTGCTGGTGGCTACACACTCTCATTTTCATTGTCCATCTGTCTCCTCCATTTATTTCTCTCAGCTATCCATTCTCCCGATTGTCCACCTACTTTTGTTCCTGTACCCTGTCTGAGTTCTGCAGAGGCAACAATGTACCTCAGCACACTATTCTGGCACCATGATGAATGGGGAGAATCCGTGCCTGTTGACTGTGGCCTTGAGATAAAGAATAAGCAAATGAAACTGCCTGCCTGCATCGCAGCACCCTGGAGTCCACTGCCACCATTCCTCATGCTAATTTGATTGAGAACGCTCGATCAGCACATACTCTTCGACCCACACACCTTTGCTCCAAGGGAGGTGTTGAGGGGGGTGCAGAGGATGGAGGATGCCATCATGGCATGCAGCAATAACAATTTATCTCCAGGATGCCTGTCTCAGCATATAATGTTCAAGTGAGACCCACTGTGGGTAGTTTACATCAAAGTAATATGTGGTACCGCAGGAGAAGGCAGGACAGAACAGGAGAAAGAGAAAAAGAATATGTAGATAAAATGGTGAAGTGGGGAAAGACGTGAAAATGAGGAGATGTGAGGACGGTAAGAAAAAACTACAGGAGGAGAGGAGAAAATAGGCTTAAAAGTACTTAACAATCCTGGTCTGTGTTCCCACACTGCAATTAATGTGGAGCCAGAAGGACAGCCTACTCCTTTCTGCAGTAAAACAAAACCAGGATTGATGAGAGTGTCTGTAGTGCATAAGTGACTGCCTGTATATGGGCTCACTAGGGGCAAAGTATCGAGATCCAGAAGAGGAGAAAGGACAGTAGGACTGAGAAAGAAGGAATGTGGCACTAGGTGGAGTGAAAGACACAAACGGAGGCACAGATTGAGATAAAGATCTGAGAAAAGAAGAGGAGGGGGGTATGTATGAGTTTGTGCAAAACACAGGGTGCGCTGTAGCAGTAGACAATTGCTAAGGGAGATAAATTGGGACAGAGCTGCTCTTTTGATGGCCATTTTTTCAGAGTTTCCTTGGTAGCAATTGTATGGGTTTCATTCATTAGACTGCAAGCAGTGAAAAACAAGGAGAGAAATATCACCAGTCAGCAGCCAGCGCACAGCACTGCTTTTACCTCACTGGTGATATTTCACCCAGCTTGACCTTCTCAAGTCAACAAACCAAGTGTTAATCATTGAGAAAAACAATCAAAATTAATTTCCTTCTTTGTCTGGCTGCTCGTTGCGGTGTCATTAAACCTTCACTGTGCCATGGATTTGGTTACTAAGGATAGCTATGTATTGTAAATTACTGTAAGACAGTTCTGCTTGATTGGAGAAGAACAATGTATGTGAGAAATATCTTCAGCATATCCATTTTTGTGATATGAATAAAAGATGAATGAAGTTGCTATTTTTGCATAATATATTCCAAAACCCTTCCAAATGATAATTAAATCTTCATATACAGTACAACTACATATACCACAGTATTTGGGTTGCAGTGTACTGTATACGTACAATGCAGATCAAAAGAGCCTCTAACATGGATCCAGGCTGTTTTACACTCCTCAAGGTCAGCTGTACTTACCTATTATTTACAGAACAGCTCACATGTGACGTAACACTGAAGCACACAAAAGTATGGCTGTGCCACTGGAGCAGAAACACACACAAAAAAGGAAAACAGAGGGAGTAAAATAGCTGAGTATCAGTTTTCCATGGTTGTCAGAGCTGGGATTAATAGGAGCCATTTCGCCATAATTAGCTGTAAAGCGTTAGCTGCCAAAAAGCCTCTTCGTTTGCCTTTGAGTCTCAGAATACTTTGTCCAATTATAACAGCTCTCTCTGGCTCTCTCTCCTTCCCATCACTGTCAACAGTGCTGTACCTGCAAGATGGCTGTCTGATTTCAGCTCTTGTTAGACAACATAATCAGCGCCTGAAACAATCATCTGCAGATGAGCTTTATTATAATCACATCATACTGTCATTATTACACATGTACCTGTTATTTGACTCAACCAGGCAACTTTCAGTCAACACTACGCTCCCAGCACCAGGTTTAATGGAAACCATTATGGGCTATTTCTCGAACATGAGAAGCAATAAAGAGTTAAAAAGAACAAATGTTGTCCTGGAGGTGTATTTCATGGACTACTCAAAGGATTTGTATGTGCCTACAAGGCTGTGGAGACCTATTCTCTAAAAGCTACAGTGAGTTCTCAGTAACCAAACTTTCAGTGAATGCAAAGCGTCTATAAATCTAATACTGCTATTTAACACATCCCCAGGTCCAGGGCTCCTGTTTTTGCTACGTACTTTATGACAATATATAACAATGCACAGAGTAATAAAGATTTAGAGATTATTTTCATTTAAGTCAGAAAATTAATAAACGAATGGTTCTGCTGCTAGGACCAAAACAAAATTGCTACATGCATGATAGAAAAATCTGGAGAAAAAAAAAAGAATAAACCCTAATCTAATGTAAATTCAAATTAAAGAACGTGCATACACTTAAAATTTTAGATAGGTGTTGTGGTGAAAATATAAACAAGACAAACTATCATGTTGCTTCTTATATGGTGTAAAATGTTGTGAATGAAAACTGCTTTGTAACTAATTGATATTATCGACAAGCTCCAAAGTGTCAGAATAAGATTCAGGCTGTAACGTTTACATTATGAAAAGCTGAAATGGCTCAGGAGAAGATCTTATATTCTTCCACTATTGACAACAATCTTATGGTCAGATTAAATGGGGCAATACAGCAGCAAGAAAAGGGATGACACATGGCTTCAATTAGCAGTGGCTGTGAATAGATCTGTGTCTGGGGGAGTGAAGAAGTATCTTAGCTTGAAACTTGATACCTGACAAGATTATGAAATAGGGATGCACCGAAATGAAAATTCTTGGCCGAAGCTGAAACCGAATATAATGAAAACATTTGCCGTTTTTGCCTCTTTTTTTTGACCATTGCATGAATTAAATAGTCAGAAATGTGCTTTTTACTCAGTGTTTCCCACAGGATTTGGAGACACTATGGTGGTTGGGTCCGAGGCCCGTAAATATGTCCATTTACTTTTAATGTAGACATGTAATATGTTTTATACTTTCTGTCAATATAATCCAATTAATCTTATTTCCATACCATATAGACACCTTATTTTGAAAACCGGACGTTGTCACATGTGTATCCTCGCGCTAAATTCATCAAGTCTGACCCAATTTGATAAATAATGTTGTATGTAGTTCTCATATCACGCAATATGAGGACTTCATTGCCGCTCTTCAGGAAGGACTCTCATACAGCAACACTTAATCTTTGTAAGGAGAGAAAATGACAGGATAAAGTCGCTAACCTGTCTGTCTTTACCATAAAGGCTTGAATACGTGTGCACTACAAATTCTGGTGCAGCTAGCTTAATCGCCTTCTCAGAAACGAGTGACACTCAAAGCAGGTCAGAACGTTTGTTGCCATTTCTAAGAAGTCAGCCACAGATGGAGTGGATGTGCTAGGAGACAATTCAGCAGAACAGTGTCTGCAAACGGTGATTTTTGCGTCTTTCTCTGACACTTTAAAATGCTTCCACACTGCCGACATTAACGTAATTGTTTGGTTAAATTTGTTCCGTTTTGACGGCTTTTTTTTTGCTATTTTCAGCCGATTAATTTTGGTGGCCAAACATTTGGTGCACCCCTATTATGAAAATAAATGGATTTTCATTAACCTCAGCAAGCTTGAATTAGTCAACCATCCTCCATCCAACTCAAAACTCCCTGCTATTTACAGTTAACAGTTTAACAGTGGCCAAAAGTTTTATATAACAGATATATGTTGCGGCGACTCTGTAGATAAACAACACTTCAGTATAACTATTTGCAGTAACCACAAATGTATTCCTATATATTCCCCTAAAGGAACAAAATATCTTCCTTAGTTATTTGCAAGCCCTTTGCCCTGTGACTTTTTAAGAAATTCTATACAAAACCGAAAAGAAGGTGCTCTTAAAAAAAGAGAGAAAACCATTTATATAACACTGCTAAGGGTGATAAATGGAATTCACTCTCCATGACAAACAGTGAGTACAGAGAACTGTCAGATCATCTGTTCCTGTCTTGTGGTGTGAAGTCGCCACAGTTGCCTGCACACAGTACTGAAGCATCCTTCAGCCCCTACGTGTGAGACAATGTATGTGTGGGAGGATATGTATACTGTACGTGTGTTATACTGTGTATGTATTTGTATGTGTATTTGTTTTTCCTACCAGCATAGGGGACCGGGGCATCCTTGTCTAGAGCTACCAGTGGAGGGTCCAGCAGCACCGTGTCCATGTTCTCAGTTATCACACCATGGTAAGATGTCTCTATCCACGGCTTGTGCTTGTTGACTGTGGAAGAGAAGGAACAAGAGGATTAATATCATATATTTCTCTGTCTTTTTTTCAAGTTAAGCATCATTAATGTCATTGTATAAAACAAAGTAACAGTGAAGCATCTCCCTCAGCCACGTAGTGCAAAATATAGAAGACTATAGACTAGAGAAAGGTAATTGCTATGAATAAATAGATATTAACAAGATGAATAGTCAGCACTTAGTTATAAATAATAAAATAAAATGCTAAAACATACATAGTTATCAATAATAGTTCCTGGTGCAATTATCGGGGTGCAAAGTAGCGCATGCAGTGCAAACATGATTCGGTGTTCAAAGTTCTATAAATTCAATGCACATTTTAGTTCAGCATTATTGTAAGGACTCTCAGTGTAATTTACAAGCTTTGTGGATTCTAACTGTATCTAAATGAGTCACATCCAGAGGAGTGAGAATGGCAAAGGCAAGAAAAACCTCCACTTTTTCAAAATATTATATTCATGCCCGTGGTTTGTGATGGATTTCTTAGGTTTTTACAGATGACAGGAGGACTAATGGAAGTCAGAGGTTGAACATTGTGAACAAAAAATATTGATGTTTGTTGAATAGCTTTGCATCTGTGATTGTCATGCTTTAAAAAGGGCTCTGTGTTCTCTTGGAAAGAACAACTGAGAGCCACAAACAACACAATTACTCAGTTTTAAAGAAAAAGAGAAGGATGAAAGAATTCTTTAACATTAGTACTACTACTTTCTTTTTCCCCCTTTCCTTCCCAGTGTGTAGACACTGTATACACTCCCTGTTACTAATATCTCAGTTGGTCTTGGCAGGTTGTTGACAGCCATGTGTCTCCTCACCAGTGGCCACACTGCCAGTTATGCTCGATAGGGGAATACACACTAAGTACCACAGCCAAAGACTGAACCAGGTCTTTGCAGCAAAGCTTTAAACTTCTAATACACTGACTTAATTGGCCAAATAACAGTAAGAGTCTGAGCAGCCAAGAAAATCTTTAAAACCTTGTTATAAACCTTTATTTTTAGTGGGCGTTCTGAGCTTTAATCTTTACTCATTTACACTGAAATAGTGCACTACAGAAACTATATCCAACTCTAGCTCTGTGTTTTGACCTCTGTCTTCCTCTCACCTTCACCCTTTAGTGCATTTTCGTTGCTTCTTTATCTCTCTCTCTCTCTCTCTCTCTGTGTTTCTGCCTCTGTCAGGAAGATGAGCTGATGGTTGATGCATATCACCATCACACATAGTTACTACTGACAATGTAAAGAGAGACCAACCATATGTGCGTACACTATATACACACATATATACATATACATGAAGCTATGAAATCCCAAGATTATTCAAGTTGACGACAACTATGCTTGCTACTGTAAGTGCAATAAAACCTTCATGAGTAAAATGCTAATACTTCATCCACCTGTTAAACAAGCAAACACACGTAAATATGTAGAAAGCGTATAGATTATAGCATGACTTTACAGTTGTAAACATTACTGTTGCTGCTCTAGAAACAACATTTAGCTATATTTAATATTTTCAGTTCTAATCTTGTTCTGAATTTAGTGTAGTTAATCTTGATTATTTGACGATTCGTGCGTTTATTGTTGTTGTTGGGGGACAGGAGAGGAGAAAGCATGAGAGCAGCAGAGCAGAGAATAGCAGGACAACATGTGTTTGGAAGTTGAATAAGCAACGTCATCAAGTCTATCATCAAGAAAATAGATCAGTAGATCTCGGCAATGTTTGTAATGTTAGGTAACTTTAGTAATATGTTTTTCATGCAGCTCTCATGATGATAAGGAAAGTAAATAAGAATTGGTTTGTAAAAAATCTGTGAATGCAATAGACCACCCCATCCCTCAACCCCCAGTATGGTGCCCCCAGTAAAACCTTGCCATTTCCACCACTGTATCTTTCTGTCTAGGGTACAAGTATCACTCTTTGCAGGGGGCTGGGATGTCGACTTGACCTATCAATCCACTGGAGAGGAAAGCTTTGTCTCATGCCAATAAGCAGATGACATGTCCAGCTGGCAGAGATTTAAAATGCATCAAACTGTTCCTAAAACCTTCTTACAGCTTTTCATCTTTTTGTTTGGACAAATTTCACACAGAGCTGCAAGAACAGGGTCAAAGTAAAAAAAATAAATTGGAAAAACGTGTTGGGCCTGTACAAAGGAAACATGTTTGTTTAGAGCAACAGAAATGTTGTGAATGAAAAAGTTTTGACGACATAAAACACAATATACCGATGAGATGAAATATCATTAACAAAATGCAATTATTGTGCCTGTACATTACTTCTCATTCACACTATCCTTCTACTCTATCAAGTCACTCGGAGAGACCAAAGACTAGTGATCATTCTAGATGGGACTCTCGCCCTGCTGAGATAGAGCAGAGAGTGGATTATAGGGAGAGAAAGAGAACCACAAGGGAAGACATTATTCATACTAGGAGTCCCATCTTGTGCTCATGCAGGAGACAGAAAACACTGCAGCAAACAGCATGACTGTGCTCTACTGGAAAGTAGAGGGACCAAAGTGGAGGTCTGTCTTTGAGTGGTGTTTAGGCATCTTTACACCTGGAATATTACACTTGTAAGGGTGGAAACTCAATGCATTAAAGCACACTATCACACACACTTTTATGGTCTATTGCAGGTACATTTTCACCCACAATACTTACTGCTTTCTTTGGATCTACTCCTTTTTTCCACCCAAAAGCAAGTGTGAAATGAACTGAAACAAACTTACAAAGAGACTCTTCAAAATCAAGACCATTTTAGACTGAGGTGCTGAGGTGACTATAAAACAGACTACAAATACAGTATGGGCATTTTTCAAGTGAGTTTCATTTGTATGAGCTTGCACTAGCTGATGTAAATACACATTAATCCTGCTTACATGATACTCACATAGCATTTCATATACATTTGAAGATGTCTTCACTAAGTCTAATAGCAGCCCACAGCTAGCACAGTTTACTCATGGATGGCAGGCTCAGTTTCTGGCTCAAGGTCTCACATTTTTCCCAAACAAATTGGGTGGTGGTTGAGGCAGCAGAGCTGTGACTCCTTAAAGGCAGTCTAATATAAGAGCTGTTTTGTAGAAAGAGCACACATCAGACCATGGAAATGGGCTATTTCCAGGATGGCTATCACAACATGTAGTACTGTAAATCCATTAGTGATGCATTTAAGGTATTTATCCTTGACATCCTTGTACTGAGCAACAGAAATGACATAAAAAGCACACCTGAGACAAATGAATCCGTGTATGGATCGTTCTTTGATTATTTTATTACAAAACCAAATCGGAAAAACCAAAAAGTTGTTTTTTGGTTTTTCTCTTTTAAAGCCAAAACGGAAAAACAAAGCCGCTGCGTTTTGTTCCATCTATGACCAGTGCTGTATTCCTACTCGTTTTCAAACTAAATGGCTGCTGTACACGTGCGCCTGTTTGCAACAGCTGTTGTCTGCCTCCGTCCCCAGATTGGTCACACTAACAAAACATATAGGCTATTTCGTTTCAAGTCTCATTGCATCTCATGGGGACTATGGCAAATATGATTGTAGAAGTGAGCACTATATTATAGCCACGTACAAAACTAACTAAAGCAAATATAATGTCTTATTGTGGCGCGTGGCTTTGCCTGCGAGCCACTCAAACACTCAGGATTCTCCTATTTCCGGTCAAATATTGATTAAGTACATCAGCATTCAGATAGCATTTTGTTTTAGGCTGATCTAAAGCAGCTGGTTACCTGAGAGATCTAAGAAAATACCTGAAGATGTTTATCATGTTTTTTTTCTCAAAGCTACGGCCATGGTGCAAACTACGGTGGAGCCACTTGGCTCCACTTAAGACATAAGCTCCCCATAAAACGTGATTTGTGATATTTTGGGGGGTCTGAAATATTGACAATATGCTATTTTTGCCATTCATTTCTATTTTTCTGTATCATCATGGATCATGCATAAATTAAGAGCGTTGGACTTCATCTAGCCAGATTGAACGATCACCAACCCTCCATAACCTCCTCTCCCTTGGCGTGTACGCTCCAGCGCCCCGCTCCCTCTCCGGTAAACCGTGGACACACTGGACGGACAGTGGTTGTTCCCTCTGGCTGGATGAAGTCCAACGCTCCTGATTTTATGCATGATCCATGTGCTACTGCAGCTGGAGGCTCTCAACAGCGCCGCGCAACTTTCTAAATTCTTCCATCACACAAAGAAAATAAAGGTCAGGTCGAAACAGTGTGGAGAGGCTGAAAGCTGGGCCTATGAAATAGTCTGCACACTGGCTATGCAACATCACCAAAGTCCTTAAGTAGTGTTGTCTCTGAGTCATGGATATCAGTATAAAAAGTGCCAACAGATCCAGTAGATGGTGACATATTTCACAGGATAAGTGAAAACTGCTAATGACGCTACAGAAAAGGTCAGGGGATCATCACAAGTCATCAGGATTTATCTTCTAGGTCCCATGGATATCTGTACCAAATGTCATGGCAATCCTTCCAACGGGAACCTGCTGGTGGCAGGAAATGTCAAGGGATCACCAAAGTAATTAAGATTCATCCTTTGGGGACTATGAATGTCTGTATAAAATGAGATGACCATAATTGTTGAGATTTTTCAGTATGGACCAAAGTGGTGGACTGAGTGACCGACAGACACCGCTATTTATAGAGATATGGCGCAAGCATGGCTAATAAAAAACATTGTTGTAGCATATGGCTCCTCTCTTAATAAGGTTACAAGTGTCATTGGCTGCAATATGCATGGCATCTTTGGCAATTTCCTAAGGAACATCTGCAGCCATTACAGCATCAGACTGCACATTATAGAGGACTAATTCACTTAGCAGAAGAATCAGTCTAAAAGTGGATATAGTACAGCAGTGGGTAAAATCAGATATGACAGTAATATGAACACAGAAATCCAGGAACAAGATAGTGCCTTCCAGTAAATAACATTACTGCAGGAGACCGT